ACTTCTCCATCCCCTCCAGTGGGCGTGGCCAGTCACCACCAAGGGAGGGGGAAATCCACCGTGGTGGGGCAATGGCGCCAGAAGTGGTGGGGGGGCCAGGTGGAGGGGGTTTGTTTTGACGCGCCATACGTGCCCACGTACTACTCAAGGGGAAACATTTCGCCAAAGATTGTTTAAACAAGGTTTGTAAAATATGTGAGAAAAAGCATAATACGTTGTTACACGATGATCGCGATACCTCGGAAAATCATAAGCGAGAAATGGGAAAGCAAATGTCAAATCAAAGGTCCGAAGCAAAAAATAACGAGGATGTCGTATGTAATCACGCTCAGACGAACAAATTAACGAAAACAAGTCAGGTATTATTATCAACAGCAATGGTTAAGGTAAAAGGCAGTGATGGACAAACTATCATCGGTAAAGCACTATTAGACAATGGATCCCAGTCTAATTTTGTCACAGAAGAATTCGCTAAAAAATTAAGTCTAAAGTTTACAAATAATCAAATAGAAATTAAAGGAATTAGTCAGCATGTAACTCACGCTATGAACTCGGTTAACTTAAGCATGACTTCACGCTTCGATACATTTGAAATGGATATACTATGCATAGTATTACCTAAAATTACGCAAAGCGTGCCGACGTTTGAATTCATCAAAGCTGATTGCAACATTCCGAAGAATATTAAGTTAGCTGACCCGAATTTTAATTTAGCAGGTAAAATAGATTTACTGCTCGGGGCAGAAAGATTTTGGGAAGTAATTTGCGTAGGCCAAATAAAGCTAGGAAAGAATCAGCCGGTATTACAGAAATCAGTGTTAGGAGGGCTCGTATCAGGTACTATCAGTATATTTTTAAGTAAGCAAAAACAAACGAGTTGTAATCTGAGCTTAGCTGAGGATTTGAATAATACAGTGCATAAGTTTTGGGAAATAGAACAGTATGAAAATTCGAATTTTGTGACTCCTGAGGATGAGTACTGCGAAACACATTTTAAAAATAATTATAGTCGTCAGTCAGATGGCAAGTTTGTCGTTAAGTTACCTGTAAAAGAGGAAGTGTAGAAAGATTTAGGTAATTCTAAGGAAATAGCTCAAAAAAGATTATACGCGTTAGAAAGAAAATTTGCCAATAATTCTGCACTCAAGAGCGAATATGTGAAATTCATGAGTGAGTATTTAACTTTAGGACATATGAAACGTGCATCAAAATTATCTGGTAACGAATCACGAGTTTATTTACCTCATCATGCAGTAGTAAAGGAAAGTAGTAATACCACAAAAACTAGGGTAGTTTTTGACGCCTCCAGTAAAGGGTCCAAAGGAAAATCGTTAAACGATGCTTTGTATAAAGGACCGGTGTTGCAATCAGACCTCTTCACAATAATTGTTAGATTTAGAAGTTTCAAATATGTATTATGCGCTGACATTAAGAAAATGTACAGACAAATACTAATACACAAAGACCAGTTTCCGTTACAAACTATTTTATGGCGTGAGAATCCTCATAAAGAAATAGAGGAATACGAATTAATCACAGTGACGTACGGTACAAAACCAGCATCATTTCTAGCAGGTAGATGCATACACGAATTAGCTGCAATCGAAAAGGTAAATTTTCCTCTAGGTGCGAAAATCATATGTAAAGATTTTTATATGGACGACCTTTTGACAGGCGCAAATACAGTGGACGATCTACTTCAAATAAAAAAGGATATAACGGAATTACTATCAAAAGGGGGTTTCGAATTGCATAAGTGGAACACCAACATCCCACGTATACTTGAAAATATTCAATGCTCTAATGTCTCTGTAGATATCGATAAAGAAACAGAATCCAAGTTATTAAAAATATTGTGGAACCCGCTGACAGACACATTTCATTATAGGACTAACGCGATTTGGACCGATAATCGTGTAACAAAACGAAATATGCTTTTTCAAGTATGTAAATTGTTCGACCCACTAGGTTTAGTGGGACTCGTGGTAACGATGGTCAAAATATTAGTACAAAGTTTGTGGGCCCGGAGGGTGCAGTGGGATGAGTCAGTCCCAATAGACATTTTTAAGTCCTGGCATCAAATAAGATCGCAATTAAAGGTTCTAAATACACTAGAAATCCCGAGAGCGTTAATTTCAGAAAGCACAGATCTACAAATACAAATTCACGGATTTTGTGACGCAAGTGAAAAAGCTTATGGGGCATGCGTATACTTAAGAAGAAAAGATATAAAAAATAATGTAAACATTACTTTAATCTGTTCTAAATCACGCGTAGCACCACTAAAGTCGTTATCGTTACCGCGCTTAGAATTATGTGGTGCCACACTTGTAATAAGCTTAATGAACCGTGTGTTAGCCAGCTTGAACGTGAAAGTACATGAAAAATACTTTTGGACAGATTCCAAAATAGTGTTAGCATGGATAAATTTGTCAGCGCACAGATGGCAAGTTTTCGTAGCAAATAGAGTTAGTGAAATACAAAATAGTTCTTCACCTTCTGAATGGCAGCACGTAGGATCGAAAGAAAATCCTGCCGATTTGATTTCGAGGGGAGTCACACCAGAGCAATTAAAACAGTCTTCTTTATGGTGGGAAGGGCCTCACTGGTTAAAAGCGAGCGAAAGTACGTGGCCAAGGGAAGGTAAAGAATTATTATTAGAAAACGTACCTGAGAAACGTAAAAGCGTTGTGATTGCTACGGCTGTGATAACTGAACCGATAGTAGATTGTAAGAGATATTCATCTTTGTATAAGTTATTTCGTGTAGTAGCTTATGTAAGAAGATTCGCACATAACACAAGAGGTGACGCTGTAGAACGCAGAATGGGACCTATAGCGTTACAGGAGATTGAAGATGCAAAGAAAATAGTAATCAAAATAATCCAAATTGAAGAATTTGAAGAAGATATAAAGCTAATAAAACTTGGAAGGAACGTCAGTTGTAAATCGAGATTAATCGCACTTAATCCTTTTCTGGACGAAGAAGGAATACTACGAGTAGGAGGGAGATTAAAGCACGCGGCATTACAAGAAACGTCCAAGAATCCAGCCATATTACCGGCGACGCATCATTTTACAGCCCTGGTAATAACACGTTATCACAAAGAGCTGCTGCATGCTGGAGTTCAAACAACCTTAAACGCCATTAGAGAAGAGTTTTGGCCGATTCTTGCGAAGAATCAAATTAAGAAGATTATTCGTAACAGTGTCAATTGCCGGAAGGCTAATCCTACACTGATTCATCAAATTATGGGTCAACTACCACCAGTAAGAGTTAATGAAGCTTGATTATTTTGTAATACTGGGGTGGACTATTGTGGTCATTTCTACGTGCGCGACAGAGTACGTAAGAACAGCAAAAAATACAAATGTTATGTAGCCCTGTTTATTTGCATGGCTACGAAAGCAATACACATTGAGCTGGTTGAAGATTTAACTACGGAATCGTTTATAGCAGCGTTCAAACGATTTGTGGCACGAAGAGGAAAGGTAAGAAATATGTATTCCGACAACGGCACAAATTTCGTTGGCGCCAATCGAGATTTTCAAGCACTGTATCAAAGTGAGGAGTTCAAGAGGGACATTTCGGAATTCGCAACTGCTGAACAAATCACTTGGCATTTTATACCAGCAAGATCTCCCCATTTTGGTGGCTTGTGGGAGTCAGCAGTTCGTTCTATGAAGCGACATCTAAAACGAACTGTAGGAGATGCCTGCCTTACTGTAACGGAAATGATCACAGTATTGACGCAGATAGAAGCTATACTAAACTCAAGACCGTTAACGCCGTTATCAGATGATCCAACGGATTTAAGAGCGTTAACGCCTGGACATTTTATAATTGGAGAAAATCTCATGTCGGTTCCTGAATTTGATTTACGAGAAATTAAGATGAATAGATTATCCAGATGGCAGTATGTAGAGCAAATAAAACAGCACTTCTGGACTAGATGGAAAAGGGAATATCTGTCAACTTGTCAGCAAAGAAGCAAGTAGAAAACTGACCCTCATAATAAAATAAAAATAGGACAGTTAGATTTGTTAAAGGAAAACGATATGATACCTTTAAAGTGGACCTTAGCCAGGGTTGTTGAAATACATCCTGGTTTGGATAATATTGTACGAACGGTTACTGTGCGTAGTAATAAAGAGACATATAAAAGATCTATTGTTAATATTTGTCCTTTAGTAGACGACTAACAGATTTGAAAGATAAGACTTTAGAGCAAAAGCGTTCATTTGTGTATGTTAAGTTTACTCCAAATTGTAAGTTCCTAAGCGAGTTGCGTTTATTTATGTTCTTTGTTTTAGTTCAGTTGTTTCTTGATTTGGTTTGTTTTATTTCTATTGAAAATATAAAATATTTGTCAAGGCGGGCGGCATGTTAAAGAGTCAGAGCCGTCTCGTGAGTACCGATAGATTATTTGGTATTTTTAGTTGCGTTATGTAAGGCGCGGCGACGCTGTTAGCGTAGTAGCGGTTGGGAAGAAGTAGAAAAAGGTTAATCAATCTAAGAACGGCCATGATAGGCATCCTTTGTACTGGCAGCGTGCCGGCTTTCTATTACGAAATAAAGACATAATCAAAACTAAAGTTTCCTGCAGTCTATACATCATTAAGAGGCTCAGTATTCTTCAATTAAAACATTATACTTACTTCTTCAATTCAATATCAGCCATTTCCATAATTCTGCTTATTCTATCTATATTCTCAATCATTAAAATTATCTCANTTAAATCTATTAATCTACGTAAAATTACTTATAAATAAAAATATAATTAAAAATATCAAGTCATCTATTTTAAACGTGTTAACACTTATTATTATCTCATATGAAATTTTAAATCTCTACTTGGATTATTTGTAGGAGTTTAAATTATTAATGGATGCTTTTTATCTATACATTACTGCACAAGAACATCCATAGCCTTTAGTAGAATTATTCACATTATACAAAATGTAAATAATAGTTGGATATTTTATAACAATCATATCAATGGAACAACTATATTTTTTCTTTGTATGTACATAAACATCTTACAAAAATTTTCCTGTGACTCATTCGATTTACTAAATACCTGAATGTTAGGCGTTACCATCTTATTATTATCAATAGCAACAGCATTTCTAGGATACGTTTTACCATGAGGGCAAATATCTTTTTGAGGAACAACTGTAATTACAAATTTAGTATCAACAATCCCATATATTGGAAATAATATTGTCGTATAATTTTGAGGTGGATTTTCAATTATAAATTCCACATTAAATAGATTTTATTCCCTCCATTTTATTCTTTCATTTATCATTTTAATAATAAAAAGAATTTACTTAATATTCTTTCATAAATCAGGATCATCAAACTCTGTAAAAGTTTCCAAGATTTATAAAAATTTCGTTTCCATAAATATTTTTCTATTTAAGACGTATACGGTTTTATAGTAATAAGAGTAACTTTTACCACTATTATTATACATTATTCTTATGTATTTACAGACTCAGATAAATTCCCTACTGACAATCCAATAGTAACCCTCATCCACATCCAGCCTGAATGATACTATCTATTTGCTTATGCTATCCTAAGGTCTATCCCAAATAAATTAAGCTGAGTTCTACCTCTGGATACCCTCGATCTCAATTCCGTACACCTTAAAACTAAATAAATGTAATTTAAATACTACAAACTTTTACCCTCCTAACCAATTAACATTTTGAACTCTAATTAATTCATTTATTTTACTAACATAAGTGGGAGCCCAACCTGGAATCTCCGGCTTACCGTGCCATCGCCTTCCCTGTTAAGCCACCGAGGCACTTGGAGGTAGTCTCGCAATCTATATATATACTCGTATATATATCGAAGAAGATCTGATAATTTGAAAACGCTTTTAATTGCAGCCAGCGTAAGGTAAATAATATTCTAAGGCTCGTCAAAATTTCACTTACGAATATAAGGCCGATACGAGCTAACTAATTTTTTTTTAAATTAGTTTGTAATTTATATTTGTAATAAAATTTTTCACGAGCCGTACAATATTATGTAACTTACGCTGGCTGCAAGTAAAAACGTTTTCAAATTATCAGATCTTCTTCGATATATATATATATATATTGCGAGACTAACTCCAAGTGCCTCGGTGGCTTAACAAAAAAGGCGATGGCACGGTAAGCCGGAGATTCCAGGTTCGACTCCTGGCCGAGAAGTTTTTTTCGCAATAGTTTAAAAAATTAGGTAGAGGAGTATTCGGGGTCTTTCATATGTGAGATGCAAATCCCGCATCCCGTATGAATTTAAAAATTAAATTTTCAATTCAAAAAAACTCATTTGTAAAAATTTATTAGTAATACTTGTTATAGATGTATACATGTATGCACGTACAATTTTTTGCTCAACATCCTGGAAATGGCTCGTATTGGCCTTGTATTCGTAATTGAAATTTTCACGAACCTTAAAATACTATTTAAAAGAATAAGGTTTCTAATCTTAGTCCTTAATAAAACTTTTCTACAACAAACCTGAAAGTTTCAGACTTTTATAATAAATATGTTACCAAATATTAGAAAACCTTTACCTTTATTCAATATATGTAATCATTATAAAACTAATCATTAATTAATTTAAATGAGTTAGTTTATAACCGCAACTGCTGGCACTTATTTAATTCATCATAATAACGTACTATACATACTTAAATATAAACATATTAAGAAAAATATTAATTTTGACTTTGATAATAAAACTTACTTTTTATCTATATTATAATTACAAAAATAATTTTTTTTATTAAGTAGAAATTTATTTTATATTATCTATTTATATTATGCTCAATTTAATACCTTGCATCAGTAATTTACTAGAATATTTGTTTACTTATTCAATAAAATAAATAATATAATTTTATTTTATATATTATAATAGCATCAAGATTTTTTTTCCATTGTTTTAATTAAATATTATTATTTATAATTAATATTAATTGAACTTTTATATTAAATAATTAAAGACTATAAAATAAGATATTATAGTAATTACATGTATGCAAATGCTTTAGATGATTTATAAATAACGTCTTTATACTTAAGAGTAATAAATTTTATATACTATAAGATATTCTATTAAATATAAATTTTAATGGTAAGTAATTATTTTTGATTTTATATTTTTATAGTAAATACACAGAGTAATTTATATTAAAATAATGAACATTATAAAATAAAATAATAAAGTTAATCCGTAATTCGCTCGTGAAATTGTCAAAACATAAATCAAAGGGCCGATACNAGCAGTAAATACAATGTGTTAGTGTATGAAAAGCAGTACTTGGTTTTATTATAAAACANAACAGACGTTACGGTCAATTGGTTAGGACCATCTTCCGATAAACAAATTAATCTAAAAATGAGTTAACATAAATGAGCGCAAAGCTTCTTCGTAAAGCAAACAACAAAATTCAAACACAATAAACAAATTTACGCAAAATAAAAAACACGCAAGATCACAGCATTATTAAACACAGTCAAAACAAACAACAACTTTTATATAAATGGATAAAAGAAAGAAACATTGTACTGACGTGTTATCCTTACAATGTAAATATATATAAAGATCTTCCCACTTATATCAATTTTTTAAAACTGTCATTCATAATGACAAAACACAGAAACATGTTTACAACAAACCATTCAAAAGCAACGATCTAAACTTTTGATTTGAGCAATTCCAAAAAAAAAAAATAAGGAAAAAGAAATAAGTATAAAGAATAAAAAAAGTAAAAAAAAGTAATGAAGAATATTATTACTATTTATTACTAATAAATTCATGACACATAGAAAATTATGGTTTTTAAAGACTACCATTTCTAATTTGAACAAAACATTACATGAACAGTTGCCTAATAGTATTTTACTTAATTTCTTTAATACACAATATGATGTTCAAGATAAGTTTGAGAGAATTCAATTTTTAAGCATTAACAAAAAACTACAAGATATAAAAAAAGATAAACTTCACAATGTCATTACTTCAATTGAACCCATTTTATATTGTGGAAGTAGTGTAAGTTCTTGTAGAAATAATGATTTTGGTCAATGCCTTGAAGAACGTAATTATAATTTGATTGACAAATTTAGCTCTTTTTGTAGTGACTATAATCACGTTGTTATTAACGCAAACAATTTTAGTAGCCATTTGACTTCAATTTCTCTCGTTGACATCAAGGAGAATTGGTTTGTCACTCTAAGTTCATGCGAAATACTCTGTGAAGTCATTGAATTTTTACAACTGGGTGAAAATTTTAGTATGTCTAATACTAATAATGGCAAATTGTTAAAGGTTTTTAAAGAATTTGAGAACAATTTAAGATTTTATAATAAAGAAACGGCAGAATCTTTAAGATCGCAATTTATTTCAATTTTGACTAATAATTTGTGTACATCAAAGAAAATGTGTGATGTTGATAAGGAATTATTATCCAGACAAAAGCTTGTTTCAATTTTTATAAGAAATCATCCGGATATTATATTCACACGTGCTGACAAGGATAATGTGACC